TTATAAATCGGTTATTATTGGGTTTAGATTAGAAAAAAAGCGTGTCATCTATTAAGTTAGTCGAGTAAAAAATTAACGTAAATTAATTAATTAATTAAGCTGAAATGATTTAAAGAATCTATTGCACTAACAAAAATAAATAAAAAATAAAAATAAAATAAAATAAGCCTTTATTGCTGTAAGATATTAACTTAGTCGACTAAACATGTTAAGAATAAAATATATATATAATAACAATAGAGGTAAGAAAATTAAAATTAACTAAATTACAAAACATTCTCGGCATTCAACTTATCTCCCCTCTTAACAGCTTGTCTTTCGACAAAGGCCTCCTCTAAGGATTTCCATTTGTTTCTATCCTTTGCTGTACGTAACCATTCTGGCCCCGCTACTTGCTTCAAATCGTCTTCCCATCGCTTTGGTTGTCTTCCTCTACTTCTTCTGCTTTCTCTAGGGTACCATTCGGTAATTATTCTGGTCCATTTCTCTTTCTTTTCTCTCAGCATATGTCCTGTCCAACGCCATTTTAATTTTCTGCATACTGATTGGACTTTTCCAAACTTAGTCTTTCCTTTGATATTTTTTAATTGTATTTTATCCCTTCTTCTTACTCCCAATACACTTCTCTCTATCCCATTCTGACATATATTTAATTTATTTTGTTGTTGTTCAGTTAAGGCCCAAGTTTGGCACCCATATGTTAGGCATGGCAGTATGCAAGCATTGAAGACTTTTCGTTTCTCCGCCATAGGCATTTCTTTATTTTTCATTACTTCGCTCAACGACCAGAATCTCTTCCAAGTGTTCGCTATTCTTCTTTCTATTTCTTTTTGCATGCTCTCTGTCGTTGATACTAATTGTCCCAAATAAATGTATTCATTTACATATTCTAATTGCTGATTATTAACTGAAATAACATTTTTTTGTGAGGCATTGCTCATTACTTTTGTCTTTGTTATATTCATTGTGAGTCCTGCGTTTGCACTTTCGTCTGATAATTGCTGTAGCATTTTTTCCAAGATCATCGGGCATTCGGCGAAAAGTATTAAATCATCAGCGAATCTCAAATGACTCAATTTTTCTCCGTTCACGTTAAGCCCGAAATTATCCCAATCCAGTCTCCTAAAGATCAACTCCAACACAGCTGAGAATATCTTCGGCGAGATAGGGTCTCCTTGACGGACGCCTCTTTCTATCGGGAACTCTTCACCTGATCTTTCCAGTTTTATTTGTGCTGTGCTTTTCCCATAAATGCCTTTTAGTATGCGTATGTACTTTTTATGGACCCCTTGTTGTTCTAATGATTCCCATATATAGTGGTGTTCCAGGGAATCAAATGCCTTGTTGAAGTCTACGAAACCCAAATAATATATTTTGTTGTATTCTCTGTATTTCTGAAGTATCTGGCGTAGGACGTGTATGTGGTCAATGGTCGAGAAGTTGCTCCTAAATCCAGCTTGCTCCATAGGTTGGTTTTCATCAAGTGTGTTTGTTAGTCTAAACAATATTATTTTAGAAAATACCTTATATATATTAGACATTAAGCTTATTGGCCTATAATTGTTAATATCTCCTTTGTCTCCTTTTTTGTGTAACAAAACTATCACTGACTTCGTCCAATCGTCTGGGAAAACTTCTGTTTTTACTATTTCGTTGAACAAATTGGTTAGTTCGGGGACAATTACCGGCATGGATATTTTAAGGAGTTCATTGGTGATTTGATCTGGTCCGGGTGTTTTTCCTAACTTCTGCGTATAAATAGCTCTTTCTGTTTCCTCTTTTAGAATTGGTGGTATAGGTTCAGTATCTTGCATGTCGTCTATCATAATTGTTGCAAGTTCGTTATTTTTACTTTTGTATAGCTCCTTATAATATTCCGTAGCAATATTTAGTATGTCTGGTCTTTTTGAAGTACTTCTTCCTTGTTTATCCTTAATATTTGGCATCCAATTCTTTTTCGATTCTAATTCTTTGAACGCTTTTTTTACTCCGCCTGTTTTCTTAATATGATATTGAAGAGTATTTGCCCTTTTTTGCTTTCTATCTTTCCTTATATTTATGTTGATATTTTTACTTAATTCTGCGATTTCTTTCCGTGTTTCTTTGGTTTTCTTGCCTTGTAAAAGTAATTTTCTTTCTTTGAGTAATTGAATTGTTTCGGTTGATAGTGTGGCTTTATTATTTGAAAACACTTTTCTAGCTTCAGTTTTGAGAGTATTTACAAAGTCGCAGTATGTCGCCTGAATCGGTTTGTTGTATTCTTTACCTTCTCTTCTCTCCAGAGTTTCTTTTAAGCTGTTCATTATTTCTGTTTTGTTTTTAATGTTCACATAGGGAACCGATTCAGTGTGCAGCCTTCGACTTTTCTTGGTATATGTAAATCGTAACGTAGCATGAATCATTTTATGGTCTGTATTAAAATTTAAATTATGTAAAATTGACATATCTTTGAAATCTTTTGGTTTATTTGTCATAATATAATCAATTTCATTTTTAATGAGCCCATTTGGGGAAGTCCACGTCCATTTCTTATTCTTTTTCTTTTTAAAGAAACTATTCAGGATACTTAATTTGTTTTCTAAACCGAAGTTAACCAATCTTTGTCCGTTTTTGCTCCTGTTGCCATGACCGTGTCTTCCTATGGTGTACTCTTCCTATGTTTTTTATCTGCTTCAGTTGGCGAGTACACCTGAATAATTGACCATAATTCATCTCTGCTATTTTGTACGGGAAGTTTGATGTTAAGTATTGCTATTCTTTCGGATATGCCTTTCAATTCTTCGATTCTGTCAGTATATTTCTTTTTTATTAAAAAACCAACCCCGTATTGCCCTGGTGTTTCTCCTTTGTAATGCAGTAAATACTTCCCAATATACTAACAAAAATAACCTATATAAAATACTTAACTTTACGTTCTCTGTAAAACTATGTGATATCGAGATTTCTCATATATAAACGAGGACCAGAAGACTTGGACAACCAAGGATATGGCTTTCATATGTCTTATGTCGTAATAGGTCCTCTGTCCTCCTCCTGGTCCTCTGTCGTCTGTTTTATATTCTGTTAGTCTTTATCGGCTTTATTAAAATTACGTAATCGCATCAACTATTTCCGGGTGTGGGCTTTCCATCAAGGGTATCACGCCTACAAGGGAGTGGTGGTAGTCTGATAATTTGCTTATGAAATGTACTATAAAAGAGGATAGTACAAACTTTGCTATTATATATTTATATTTATATATATTTATATATATATTTATATTTCTGTTATTATTATATTTATATATTAGCTCACTTCTTGATTGTGTGCAGAATAACCTTCAACCTAGATTTACAAGTAACAACTTGTCATCACGAATGGTTAAAACAGCACGTAGTAGTTACCGATTGTTACTATCTCACATTGTTTTACAATTAGACTATGTTCTTTCATACAACAAAACATATCTTGACAATATTTATGCATTGTTCAACGTACAAAGTTTCAGACAGTCACCATTCAATAGTAATTCATACACTTTCGCATTCGTTAGTAAAATTTTTATTGTAAGTCCAAAACATTATAATATTGCATAAAACGTTTCTCACATTCGTGTATTTCCTCATTAAGCAACTATGAATTACAATCTACAAAAACTATCTACAAAGACTAAAATACAATTGTTGGACTCATTACTAATAAACATTCGTTATGGAGTGTCTGACTTGAAATGAATAGGGTATATGAATCCGAACGGGATTATCTTAAAAAGTTCTACATGTGATCATCAGGCCCCTGATACGAATCAGTGCAGTGACCTCTTTGTATGTATTGAGATTATCATGATATGGGCCCAATATAGCAGATAAGTCTGATATTAGCAGATAAGAAAGTTGCTCGTTTTAAAATTTTCAGTGCAATTGTCTCATTAAGAGAAGGATTAACATTGTTTTGCTCTGAATTTAAAAACGATTATCTCGCATTTAATACTTTCTCGAATCTTTTTTCTTTGATCTTTATTAATTTCATTTTTTAAACTGTTATCATTCAGAACCTTGCATGAGAAGTCGTAGTACTCGGCTTAAGTGCAAAACTTGAAATAATCGATATTGAAGACAATTGAAGAATATGTATACTACTCTTTTTGATTCTGTTAATTTTTTCGCAATAATATATCTTTATTTTCTTTTACATTTTCCTTTGATGTACGGCTTTTCTTTACTATTGAACGGTTCTGTAAGGAAAATTTTTATAACAAAAGCGTTAGTCCCAAGCAATCGTTATTTTTTCTGTTTGTACAAAGAAGTAAGAAAAAAAGTGACTTCATAGGTCTCTGACGACGTTGTCACACGTGAGTCGTGCGCAAACATCATGAATCATGAATTAATAATGTTATCACTGCAGATTTGTTCAAAGTAAACAAATAAAATTTGTATAACTTTCACTCATCTACTCTGTCCGTAAACCACTTAACAGGCCTTGGAGCCATCTCCTTAAAGAAATTAATCTGTAGAGAAGCTGAGAAATTGTCTTAAAACTCGTGTAGTTCTTTATATAAGGAACTAAATAGGTATATTAACTTTGTGACAATCTCAGATAAGTCTTCTGTTCAAAATGTAGCAAAAACGTCCAGTTCTAGTGATTACTTTCTACTCGTTTCATTCATCATTGTTTAGGTTGGATAAATTAATGTGATTCAAAGCACACATGGCTTTATTAAGATAATTTGTTTTAACAATTATTTATTATATTCTTGGGTAATTGTAATAAAGAAAAAAACTACAAAGATCTGATACAAAATTTCTGGTAACACTTTTAGGTTTAAGGAGAATAAATTTAATGCAAGGTAAAAAAAAAAATCAATGAAGATACTTTTGGATCTAATTTGTAGTAAAAACTAATAACTAAAGTAGAGAACCAAAAAGGAAAAAGAAACAAATACCAAAATAACTCACACCGAAACTGGTCCAAGTGGAGATCCCTATCTAGAAATGTATTCTGATTGTAATTTTCTTCTACAGGCAAAGGAGATTCTCACGAAGGAGTCTAACGTGCAAGAGGTGAAATGCCCCGTAACTGTCTGCGGGGACGTCCACGGACAGTTCCACGATTTGATGGAACTGTTCCGTATTGGCGGGCGTTCGCCGGACACGAACTACCTGTTCATGGGGGATTACGTCGATCGCGGTTACTACAGCGTTGAGACAGTCACATTGCTTGTCGCCCTCAAGGTATGAGCTCATGTTTTGATTTTTAACATATCCATTCTATGTCTATTGTAAGTACGAGAACATGCCTTCCTTCACTCATTTACAATTTAAAAACAAAAAAATAGCTTAAAAACGAAAAAGAAACAATAAGAAAGGCCTAAAGACTTAATTAGCATCTATATTTTTAGTTTTACTTAAGATGCAGTACAATGAGATGTCATAATACTATGTTACAGTGGCCTTGTAGACCTCGTTCAAAGTAAATAAACATAGCTTGTAGTTGGCGCGTAAAAGTTGTGTAAATTGATGACGTAATGGAGAGGTTTGCTCTAACCGGGACCAGTTTTATGACTGCAATCCTTATGCAGCCGGGCCTTCAGTGAGACATACATATAAATTATTATTTTTTATTCTGTATTATTATATAGTAGAATGTAGAATAAAATAAATGGAAATGAATAAATTATAAATTATCGATCAACACACCATTTACCAGTTAAAACTGCATTGAGAACTACAGCTGTAGAGTGCGGATTTCATTCAAATATTTCATTTGCATAAATCAATAGCCTTTGGTAATATAGCAATATAGACCAATTGATTATCTCACTGGAAGCAGACCTTAAGACATCCATTACTAAGCTTAGCAGAACTTAGAAACTGAAAATCGAAAATTTAATCGTCTATCTTACGACGATAATTTATATCGTCCCTAACAAACGTCGGTATAGACGCAATCCAAATGATTATGTATGTTAGGCTAATGATGGCAGAAGCTCTAGTGATTGAGCGAATGGAAGACTAGACCTTGCCTACCCTAATAAAAAAGGCGCGAAGCTATGTATCAATGTATTCGGTGGATAAAGTTCAATAATAAAATATTAAAAAAAAACGTTTTATATATTAATCCGTTCGAGGATTAATCGTTGTTTGTTCATTGTTTAAAATTCAGTACCATTTTACCATATTTCCAAATTCCATACACTGGATACAAAATTCTATTCATAGCTTTTATATTTCCGCGCTTCCAAAACGCGGTGTCCACGACAATATCAAACGAACCGTTATTGGTGGTTTGGCTGGTACGTCTGGTATCATATACTTACACTTAGCTTTAGGTACTTTCCCAAAATAACAAGTATCACTTGATACCTATGCCAGTTGCCAATGAGCCCAGACTAGCTACGGTTTTAGCTAATACAGTACACCGTTTACCAGATTAAGTATTTTGTCATTATTATGAAAAGTCACCTTCACGCTATTTTATTCGTGTTTATTTTTTTATCTGAATTTTCGTGATTATATCAAAGGTAATCTCGAAAGTGCCAGTGTGTCACATTTTTAGATATGTCTTTAGCATCATTTTTATTAAGATTCCTGTATAAACAAAACTGAGCTTAGTCTTTCAGCGACTATCGTAGTCGACTATCATGACCCTGGAATTGTTTACGACAAGTTGTTTACAAAGTTGCATCACTAGCATTGGTGCCTGAGCTTTCGTCACGGTAGTAAAAATAACAAAGCGTTCTTTTCAATTTGGTAAGCCATCGTCTTCACTTTATCGGGTCCCATAATTAAAGCTTAGGATGCAAGACGAAACGTCAACGGCTAAGAAAACAATATAAACCTTAAACAGCTTAAAGATAGCAGTTACTCTCTTTTAAAGTTTTGTGTTTTATAGATAGGTTAGATATGGTATATAACGTAACAAAGTTTATAAACCCCGCCGCTGTCACATAACACACATGACACGCGCTACACATCGTTGACCTCTTCCCCTCCATACTTAACAGAAACATCAATGTTATTATAACATCGATAGTTAAATAAAAACAAACAAAATATTACGCGTAAAAATAAATACTATTAATATATGATAGTAGGTAGGATAAAAGAAATTGACAATCGAGTATCAATGCAAAGTAAGTATCAATGCGGAGTATCATCAGTTGGCACAAAGGGTGGTAGATTGCTGGTAGATTCCGGGATTAGTATGACTTGAAAACTCGAATGGCCTCGATGAAAGAACGATGAACAAGTATATAAGGCAAACGTTAGTGGGGTTACCAGTATCGCTACCGGACATTCCAAATGAAATATACTCGTACGTATATCATGGTATGATTAAAATATCGATTTTCTAAACTACGGGCAGGTTTGAAATATCCTATAGGTTTAATAAACAATAAACTCGTGAGTTGTGTAAGGCTAGAAGTCTCTGCCCACCTAAAATTGAGAAGGGTTTGAGCATGTATGTTTATATTTTTTTGTTTAAATGCCAAATGTCATGCAAATTAATCCTAACAACAACTCCTCATATCAGTCAGTCATATATTAATATATAGACAAATGATATTCTGAAAATACATCAGTCGTCCTTTTTGTAACCACATCGACATACGTATCATCCACTGAAATATTTATTTCATAGAACACCTTAATTATGAAGTCATAGCGCAATCGTGATCACTTTCTGCAAAATAAAAGCAAATACGATGTGTGTATCCCACCATGAGTACAAACTGTTGAGAACTGAGAAAATAAATGAAATCAATAAAACGTCGACAAAAATAAACTTTATTTCAATTCCTCATTTCAAACACAATACAAGGATTAACTACTGCCGTTAACGTTGAATGTTATAATAATATGTTGTTTTTTAAGAGTTAGTCATTTCAATGTATAAAAGTCATGTTCATTGTGATTTTGTTGTACCTACGGTATGTTAAAAAAAAAAAAACTTTTATCACATAACTGTATCAGATTGTTTGCATGTTAAAGCGGAGACTAGAGTGTTATATATAGATAACATCTAAACTTATCTCAGATAAAGACTGGCCACTATAAACATATTCTTATAATAGTACCTATGTACAGTAATGAGAAACTAAGTTTTTTAAACTAAAATTTGTCTACGAAATAAACGAGAAAGTATTTTAATATCTACGGTTAACGACTTTTAACCATCTCCAACATAAATAACAAACTAAAATAATGTGCACTGCACTATTTGTAAATATTATGATAGTCATAGTTATTTAACTGTTTCAACAACAGTTATTTTTAACAATATTTGCAAGGAGCGATAGAAAACAGTCTGCTGTATACTGGTTAGAGGTTTATTTTAGTCTCAAATCTGACGTACTCGACTGTTTGAATCGTTTGTAAACTATCGCTGCTAACAAAGCTCAACAAGGCATGAATGACAGCCATTCTTACTAAACGTTTCCTCCACGTATCGTAATATGTTTAGTTAATTTGCAAGCACTCGCGTTCGGGCTGTTTTCTTTTATGAAACATTGACTACAAAGATACTAGTTTCGTCACGAATATAATAATGTTAGCGAAGGTAAAAATATGACTTATTTTTTAAATAGATTTGATTTGACAGAAGTAGTACGATCTATAGCAGCAAGGATTAGATACATATTCTCTTTTTTAAGTAGTTTTTTGGATTTAACAAAAATATTTTTCAACTACTTTGTCTATTACCAGTATAGTATGCAGTTGTAACGTCAATCACATTATTAGAATGCAAGAAAAATAAACATACATTAACACTATACGCTAATGTTACATTTACAGGTTAGATACCGCGAAAGAATAACAATTCTGCGAGGCAATCACGAATCCCGTCAAATCACCCAAGTTTACGGTTTTTATGACGAGTGCCTCCGCAAATACGGCAATGCGTCCGTGTGGAAGCATTTCACGGATTTGTTCGACTTTCTGCCGCTCACCGCTCTGGTGGACGGCCAGATCTTCTGCTTGCACGGTGGGCTCAGTCCTTCTATCGACACCCTCGACCACATCCGCGCCCTCGACCGCTTGCAAGAGGTGCCCCACGAAGGGCCTATGTGCGATCTGCTGTGGAGCGATCCTGATGACAGGTTAGTTTAGATTTGATACTATTTTTTAAACTATTTGAAATTTGATTAAAAACGTAGTCATTGATATTTCATGTACTTACAAATGTATTCGGCTGGCTGTGTGGTATTAAAATGTTTTTAAATATATTTTAAAAAGATCATATCAGTGCTACTGTTAGTCTAGAACAGTTAAAATAACAAAATGTAAGTGTTATAGTAATGATACTCAGCGGGGCTCAGAGAAAGCTATATTGCGTATGTCAGCTAGTTATTACAGTTATTTTACTAACATACAAATTATTTAGTATCTGTCAGTGAAACAGGTAAAAGTTATGAAGTTAGGGTTGGCATGTTGAATTATTTACAGTTCGTTAATTTTCACATGAAGACACGGACAAATCTTCGGGCGAGTTAAAACTCAAGAACAACAATAAAAAATTAGTAGCTGTGAATTTGTAGTGCTGTCAATTAAAATAAATGTGAACTATTAATATTAAAACTATTCACATCTTTCTTGGGCTTACTTAAGCAATTAATGATAACATTTATCACGCACAAAAGTTGAACACAAAAATAAGGAGACATAAAATCACCTAAGGGTCAAGGACGTGTTAATATATCGCTAATGACTAATTATACACCGCTACGAGATGCGCATGTATCGTCTAGGCCAGGGATTCCCAAACTATTTTGGGCAAGAGGCAACTTTCCTAAAATGAACACGCACAATTACTCGCTTATCGACCTGTAGCGTTTTTAAAAAGTACAACAATGATACTTCCTACTAAATTATTAGTCATTCTCATTTTATTACAAGTTGGTTGGTGTACGTAATACCACAAACACAGTTACTTAAAAGTTTCAAATAAGACCTCGTCGACCCCCAAAATGAATTTTCCTTTATGTCGACCCCGAAAACCAATTTCGACCACTTTGGGAAATCCTGGTCTAGGCGTTATCGTCATCGTGACATCGTAATTAAGTTATTGATTTTATCACACACTTTTCTTATGCTCTGTCAATAGCCCATATTCATTTCCAACTCCTCCAATTTTCTTCTGATTAATTTCGTTGCGGGTTCCAAGACAGTTTAATTTCTTCCTGGGACTTCCCGAGTGTCATAACTCGGTGTGTTCGTGGGTCACTGCTGTGGATCCTGGTGTACAGGAGTTACAGTGGTGGGCGTGTGGGTGGGATTAGTCCCAAAAAAAAAAAAGCCCATATTCATAGAGATATGACCATTTATTTATGTATTATTTATTATATATTCTTGAATTACTCGTAACGTCATCAGTAGGTCATCTTACTTACTTCCCTTTGAATAGCTTGACGTTTTGTCTACGTTACAATAACCGTGTTCAGTCAGACTGCAAAGTCGTGAAAGTTTTAAAGTTAGTAATTTATTCATAATCATCTTTTTAGTCCCCTTCTTCTCTTCTCTTCTAGTCTTAAATTCATAAAATGAATTCAGTACTTTGGCTTGAAAATGCAACAAACAGACAAAGTTACTGTCGCATGTAGAATAAGCATAGATGTGCTTAGTAAGTTTCTAAGGAGCAACATTAACATTAAGATTTTTTTTATGGTATAAGGAGGCAAACGAGCAGACGGATCACCTGATGGTAAGTAACTACCGCCGCCCATGGACACCTGCAACTCAAAAGTCACACGTGCGTTGTTGCCCTCGGAGTCCCTCCCGCTGACTCGAGCGGGATTTGAGCTCCTGTAACCTCACTCACTCAGTGAAAGGCAACGAAAGAATTGCTTAACACGTTTTCTGTGAGGCCGTGGTATCACTCCGGTCGAGTCGGCCCATTCGTGCGTGTCACGCACTTCTAAACGGATAAGTACATATTTGTCCGTTTAGAAGTGCGTCCCAATCCCCACCCACACACCCAAACCCATGGAATTCACGTCCAACTGACTCCATACATTTCTTTCTGTGAAGATAATAGCATATACGGAAAATAAAATATTTTTAGAGCGTTGGATATAGCCCTTTTAATACGATGCTCATATATAGACCTTTCAACTCATACAGAGATACCTGAATGAAATAGACTGGAATGATATCTCTTTACACAGGCGTTCCGTTACACTCACTTTTACTAAATGTATTTAAAAAAACATTTGATTAGATAATTCGATGAAGAGGCTTACAAAGGTTTTATAACTATATTAGATTTGTAACCTGAATGACATCAAATTGTTTGATAAAATATTTTGAATTGAATAAATGATGAAACCTTACTAGAAATTACATCGTTGTTTATTCGTGTTTGATTTTAGACCTTTAATATGTATATATTATGTTACATAACTTATTCTAAATTATGTTATTATTATCTTTAATTAGGGCTTTTTAGGGCTAATTTCTTTAATGAGAGAATATATTTGTTTACATGAAAAGTGTGGAGAAAATAAAAACCGCATTCATTAAATTTAAATTCATTCCAATCAACCCACAACTTTAGTTCGCATGCTGATCTCCATTCTTAGAAAGTTTGCCGTCATTAGTCAGGTGCTACTCAACATTATATTATTATTTATTTATACATAACCCTTAGGCCACCTGTTCTTTTCGAAATAGGGATAACCTCATAAAAGACGAGTTAACCTATAAATAAATCCAGTACCAAATGGGGCTAATCTATACTTAAGAGGGTAATCGTGTAATGAGTTAGTACATTTTTATTGAGGACATTCGATTATCAGATAAAGGGGGCGCGTCGGGTTTGAAACTTCGGGCATCCAAGAAGTATATAGTGATTTAAACCACATACTAAATAAAAATGCTATTCATGAAAGTTTTTATTCAAATATTAATCATAACAGACTACGTTTTTAACTTCAAATATTCTCAAGGTTCTCAATTCGTTTGTATTTTTTTTAAATGTTTGTTACCTTAGAATTCCGTCAATTACGAACCAATTTGGCAAATTTATTTTATTTGGGATTATACTTTGCGTTTGGTCTTTTTTAATGTAATAATTCAAAAATCCCTTTTAAGAAAAGTTGAACCGACTTTAAACAATACTAACAGAGTACTAAAACCTAGCAGCAATCGGTTGACTTGCTGTCGTTTTTTGAAGAGTTCCGTTGTGTCTCCGAAACAAATCATCAGATTATCATCTTCAGATCTATATAAAAGTTAAATGGGACCATTTCGGCATAAACCCCTTTCGAACAAAAAAATAATTTTGAATTTCCGTCTATATCCGACGGAGTTTTGCACGAACATACATAATAAAAATATACAAACATACGAATTGAAAACCTTTCTGCACTCAACGCTCTCCTGCGTTTCAATCCCGACTGTGATTTGTTTGCGGATGGATGGCCGAATATACTGTTAGTATGCTTGCAATTTTGTGAGCAGGCGGGATGATTTTTATTTAGATTTTAACTTTGTTTTTATTTTTTTTTGCGTTGATGTATATGTCATTAATTATTGTAATTGGTGAAACCGCTATAATTAAAGTAAATAAATAAATAAAAAAAAATGAAAAAAATAAATTGAACTTTATATTGACTATTTTTTTTAAATAGGTAACCCTGACTTTCTTGAAGCTTATGCTACAGGTGTTTTTATTGATGTTCTTGTTTCCTGCAGAGGCGGATGGGGCATATCGCCGCGTGGTGCCGGCTACACTTTCGGCCAGGACATTTCCGAAACGTTCAACCACAGCAATGGGCTGACCCTCGTGTCCAGGGCTCATCAACTCGTTATGGAGGGTTATAATTGGTGCCACGATAGAAATGTCGTCACTATATTCTCAGCACCTAACTACTGCTATAGGTGAGTTGATTAAAAATTCTTTACGAGACTTACGTTTTGAGTACTTGGGTGACCCAGCTTCACTGTAACAAAACATCTATGTAAGTAAATTAACAAAGGCAATACATTATCCGAAAACAAAATTTAATCCTTATAGTTATAGCTCTTTCCGAAATACATGAAATATTTAAAGGAAATGAAAGGTCATTTCATGTTAATTTTGTAAACATAATATTAATAGATTAAATATTTGATAACCCAGCAGATTTCAACATCTCGACTTTTTATCGGTTTTATAAATACCCCGTCCCGTAACCAACAGGAAGTTATATATATATATATATATATATATATATAAAATAAGTTAATTAAAATAATTATAAACTATTATGCTATTATTACTGAAAAGCAATTAGCATTTCAGTGTCACTAATAACGTGTTGTTTTTAAAACAATCGTATATTATGGCCACTGAAATGATTAAAGTCTATTGTAGACAAAACAAACGTATATCTGCACTAACCTAGATACGGCGATGTCGGGCCGTTGTTAAATTGACCTATATTCGAACTAGTCTCTCCTATAAATGGCGAATTAGACGGAAGTTATTTCGAGAGTGCAATCAAATAAACCAATAACTTCTCTTTTTAAAAAGACAACTCCCGCACTAGGAATATATTCTGTGTCTGTGGGGACTTTACAAACATACATGAAATGGACACAAAGGCAGTCAGACTCAGGACGATAATTTGTGGATCCCACAAAGTGTTGTACCATGTTGAGATCGAACCCACAACACAGCGTAGTAGGAAGCTGCGTGGCGACCGCTTAAACCACTACGCCATCCGTGCAGTCAACTATATTTAAAGCAGATGCAATTTAAGAAAAAATAAGACACTAGGATAAAAATACATATTTTATAACTTTTTATAGAACCATAATAACAATATAACTATTTTTTATTGTATATGCGTGTACAGATTGTTTTTTTATCTAATTTACGTATATTTAACAAGCAGTTGAGGTTGTATATTTAGTACAACGTAATTATTGAGGCGTTGAATTTTAAATGGGAGTGGTTGCAATCCCCACCCAATACACCAAATTCAGATCTAAGTAGATGTAAACCCTAATGCATGTCGATACAATAGAATAGCAAGAACAAATATTATTCGGTAATCAAGGTCACCTCGAAGGCTAACAATACACGGAACTGATATTTAACTCTGTATTCCCCCAAAAATGACTCCATTGCGTATAGATTTCCTGAGTCCAAAAATATACTTAATATTTACACGATAAGTGCAACTAAGATAGTAGGTGGTAACCTCTTATAGGTCAGGTGCGGGTTAAGTAATGACGTCTCAGACAACTCGGAACATCGATTTATGCACATAAAAAAATACAAAACTAATAAATAAACAAAATAAATGTGTAAAAGGTGGAATAAAGGTAGAATATTAAAGGAGCATAGAACAATTGAATTATAAATTAGTCTATATTGTAGAAGTAATCATAACAATTTGAAGCCATTGAAAATTTGGGGGTTTTAGTTGATTTTTTTTTTTGTTATTTCTTTTTTTTGTCAAAAGGCCGAAATTACTAGTATTCCCTTTAAGCTAAATTCCAGCTAAGCTAAACTGCTTGTATTAGGAGTGGGTTGAGTTTACCGGTCAGGATTCGAAACCACGACCTCTTGATCGCAAGTCCAATGCCTTAACCACAATGCTACCGCTGCTTAATACTATGGTAGTAGAAATCGTATCCTACGTTTTCTGCAGTCCATATATAAGAAAAGGTAAACAACGGCTAACAAAAAAAAAAGTTTAAAGTAAGAACTGAATGTTCGCCTTGTTTCTACTTATATCTACTTACATAGGACAGAAAGTGTGTAGAGTAGTGTGCCTGATTATCATAAAATAGCAGCTTCTGAAACTTAGTGGTATGTAAAAAATATGGGCAGATATTTATATATATATATATTGCGAGCCACTTACGTATCTCGAAACATCAACAAGATTAGATAATCTTATAATATCTGTATTCTTCGTGTGGATTTCATCAATGTAAACATGATTGTTTCAGATGTGGCAACCAGGCCGCCATTATGGAATTGGATGATGCGCTTAAGTACTCATTGTAAGTATTGTTTACTAAACATTTGTGCATCTGTCTGCTTTGTAGTATATTGTACAACAAAAAAACGTTCATTCATTTTAACAATGTTTTACGTGCAAGTTTTTATTTTAGTTAACCAACAAATTAAATAGAAAGTATTCTATTTCATAACACCCTAAATAAACAGTGTGGTGTCCTCCAGGCGACTTTTCTAAGATTTCCTTACACGAGTTAATACTTAGTGGCATTTTCCGACTTCTATGATAAGTTAAACGCCTGCAATATGTGCGCATTTTTTTATTACTCTCTATTTAAATCATCGTAAATTAAAAGTTTAGGATATTTTCGGAATGATTAGCAGCGCAAAGTGATGACGAAAAATTTGTTCAACAAGATCAAATTTTCAATCGATCATGTCGATTCTATACTGTGGATATTGAAAAATATGACCGTTCTACAATAAATTGACTAAATCCAGTTCGTAATAATCCGTTTTTAATGTATGTCCGTTAATGTTTTCAGCCTTCAGTTCGACCCGGCCCCGCGACGCGGTGAGCCTCATGTCACGCGACGGACGCCAGATTACTTCATGTAGGCTGCACGTAAGTATATTGACTACTCATCCTATTATTATGAAACTTTGCGTATAATACTGCCTGGAGTCCAAAAAACACGTAGGGTTTCGGCCATCCTTTCTTAAAAGAAATGTACCGTTTCGGTAGATAGAAAAATTAAGGCCATTCGCGTTAAAAAAGGAAATTATCGTTTCGACCGAAAACTTGGAGAAGTGGACTCGCCAGCGAATGTTTAATTTCGTATGCATTTAGTAGCAGTTAACGTAAGAAAGCGCTCCGTTTAATGTCATATTTAAATTTGTATATTAACTGTTTGGCTCATGAGGGTTAGTATTCGTGATGTTACTTAAGACTTGTAGTACGTCACATCGGACGGTGCTAACTTCGGGCGAATTTAACTAGCAAGTCAAAAGATATCCTTTTATTGCCCTTCGTGTCCGCTTTTACTTTTCGTGTCGGTTTTCATAGAGCAAAACGAAATAGAAACGTAAAGCGTGTGTATTGGTTACAGAGGAGGCGCATATCAAGCAGGTGTCGGGTGGGTGGGGCGGGCGCGGGCGCGGTGCGGCGGGCCCGCAGCGCACGCGGCGCGCTCGCCTCGCCTCGCTCGTGCGCGTGGCGCACTGGCTCGCGCACGTGTAGCGCCCCGCCCCGCGCCGCCCCCGCTGGTATGTTCAACCCGAGCGGTTGGACCTCATTAAACTCGTTCGCTCCCGACCGGTAGTTTTATTTCGTCGAGCCCGCCGCCGACGGCGCCTGCGGTCGAGCGCGGAGCCTCCGTCTAAGTGAAACGGCACGAGTATCGTCACTCTAGCGAACGTTATGACGTTTCCGACTAAAGTTACTGTAGATCGGCCCGTTGCGAGTACATGTTTTTATTTTCGATCGCTTCCCGATACGTAATGTGGCGCGCTCGCGTCGCGTCGACGTGATCTTTCTGTCTTTCGGTGTCGGTCACGCGAGCATTTAGTTTTGTGACAGAATGACGTTATCAGATATTAATTTTATTCATAAAAATATGTATCTTTAGTTCGACTGTGAGTCTGCGTAAAATATTAGAACTTATATTATTGGTACCCAGTGCAATCGTTCTGTCACAAAATATTGAGAACGCTTTTGTTTTTTTTTTTTTTAAATTCTAAATTCTCCTTTTCTTGTGCCACGGTACCTGTATAACATGGAAAAGTGTTTCACAAGAGTGGAGCTTTAATTTTTTTTTACTATATATTTGTTCTATATTTAAATAATTAATTAATCTTAGGTAATCATGTAAATACCTAAAGACCGAGACACCAGATAGGGTTTTATTGTTCAAACTGAATGTCGAACGTTTTCCCTATAATGTACTCGAATTGAACGCAGAGGTAAGTAACTAAATAAATAACAATTTTATATAGAGAGATCGTTGCCAGCTGGGAAACTGTTTTGTAACATCTTAGGATATATAAATTTACAACAGGGGTTATATTTGAAGTGTTGATAGCATGTTTATTATAATACACACACTCGTAATCCCTATTTCCTTATACAACGCATTTTTTATTTCTATTTATAGTATAACTGACAAAAGCGATATAATTTTCCATGCAAAAAGCGTGTACTTATTTAGAATCTGAACAATGGACAGTTCTTTTGTCAGTGCCATCTTGCGATATTAAATAAAAGATCAGATTATAATTGTAATATTTTTTTCATTTCCTATATAAAATAAACGCGTGCGTACTAATTATACAAAGACCTTACCCACCAATGACACCTGAAGCCACACGTTTCGTTGATCTAAGTATTAAGTATGTAAGTTATAGGTAAATAAAATATAATATCCATAAAAGAAAAAAAAATAACAAAAAAAGAGAAGTATGGCGAGCTTCGTTAGCGTGAAATAAAACATAAACTCTAGCACAAGTTTGATTTCTTTGCTTAAGGCGTTATTTCACCCAATCGAAGCTCGCGTGAGGGTGTTACAGCACTCGCACTGTACACACATCGATACATTGACCGACGTCGAATATGCCAATTTCTAAATTTATCAATTAATTTCCATTAAACACTTCCAACGACAATCGATCAACCTTGTGCTAGTCTATCGATCATTGATCTCCGAGCGGATATCTCAATATTCCTAGAAAAGTAGGCAGTGCAAAAGTGGAAAGTAAGATTATGAAAGAACTATCTATATACTATGTAGGTGAGCTCAGTCTTCGATAAACTATCGAAATATTGGGAATATTTGCTCAAGCTAATGACGAGCGATACTAGATCGGTAAACGTTCGCAGTGGATTTAACGACGTAGATCAATTGCATCGATAGGTGATTATAGTGTGGGTGCATTAACCTAAGTTTAAAATTAAGGCTTTTCTGGCAAATGCATAAGCGACCGACGTTAAAAGTATTGAGACAAATCTTTTTGTATGCATAGTGTGTTCATGTATAAATGGGACTCGATACTGTTGATATTGCGCCGACTAAAAATGATATACATACAATACAAACAACTGGTATCGCTACACAATGGCAATAAATAAAAATGTAAAACACAATACGGTTAAATAATTATTCTTGCAACGTGTACTATGCCTGTTAATAGGATTTAGATATAATAAATAAAAATAATTATAAAACTTGTTTTTTTTTTCTATACCACTACCATTAGAAATAAAAGCCGAAGGTTACTTGAAAATAATTTATTTAATATATTTTTTTACACTTTTATGCTCTGTAATAGTTCACGTTTTTCGGATATTTTTAAAACATCAAATCATTGTCATAAAACGAATTTTCTTAGAAGCAAATCATCTTTCTCGCCTCTTAATTAGTTTATACCGGCTTTTTTTCTTTATAAGTAGTGTGCCACTTATAGCCTGTTTTTAATCCTAGAGCCTGACTTGATGTGGGTTGCTACTTTTTTTTTTTGCAATTCTTAAAAAGTGATGCGCCACTATCGGAAATTGAATAAAATCAAGTTTTTTTATAATAAATTATCCTGTGTAGGTATTTATTTAAAACGTAATAATACAAAATCAAGATATAGATATTAATATATAATATGAAACAAATATTTTTAATTACTTAATTACAGGTATTCATTACATTACATAAAAATGTTCTTAATTCTGCAACTTATAGTATACATATGTCGGCGCTAATACAGAGTCACCACTTTCGGAGGTCATATCAATAAAACACGCACTTAAAATTACTTGATTATTCATGTACGATTATTTATTATTATTGATTTCTTTCTTTCTCTTCTCAATGTATTAAAAAATTAAGATTTAAGAGTCCTTTAAACATTTGTTGAAGTTAATCGTCCAATAAACATAAATAGTTACGAATTAATAAACCGGTATCGTAGGCACATCACTGCACAAAAGAGCTGGTATCATTATTTCTTTGAGATTAAAAAACAGGATATATAACCTATAGTAGTTAGTTATACCTATTAGTATAAGTATGGAGGTATTATTAGTCTGGGTATGGGTTTTTACCCATAGGAAATATTTTTTAACTGAGGAACATGTCTAACCCTTGGTCAACCTCAGTTTTTCCTTATCCTGTTTCAATTTTCATATTCAATTAAGATCATTGCAATCCAAGACTGCAAACTGCAAATTTAATTTAAAAAAAAGGAGGTGTGACCTCCTGTGTTTTTTTGCCCTAAGTCAATACTGTAGTTATAAATCGAACAGAACTGAATTCTCACTAACAATCATTAACTATGGTAATGTTTAGCTTACAAAAACAAGATGTACAGGAAATATTATTATTAACTAGGTATATTTTTTATTGTGTTAAAACATCTAAAGATCATCATTTCATGGGGACTCACAACAGCCTGGCGGCTGAAATTGTTAAAACATGGACCGTAACGACTCCATTTTACACACAAAGCCTCCAGGTCCTCCTCCTCTTAGCCTCCAGCTTCCATGGCGCAAGGATAGCAAGAGGCGGCGCTTGGTCACCATGGACGCCGCAATATAGCGGCTACGCATGCAGGTCGTTAGGGAGGGCCATTGGGACAATGGGCATATGCACGTGACTCCAAAATGGTCAAAAAAAAAATTTGTAAACTTTATTGCTAAAAAAAGATACCTTCTATTTTCTTTTTTAAATTTACTATAATTTAATAGTGAAATTTAATCATCAAAAAGTGTTTTTTTTTAATTCACTCGCATAATTTCTAAAACGCAACGCTATTGGTATAACAAAACGTGACGTCAAATTTTACTGTCAACAAGTTGGTTGTTTGGTTTCTGGTGATTATTATTTTGTTTTGTTTTGCGGTTGATTCATATTACCTACGTTATAAGTTTTCCGTGTTAAAGTACCTATTAAATCCTTGTGAAGAAAGACAACACAATGACTGAAACGGGTTTTATCAAAGCACAATCAGATGATCTTCCTAAAATAGATGTGTTTATGATGATCATAAATTGTTCAATACATATAATTCTTCTCAATCTAAAGTCCCAGAAACAAAATTAGTTAGAACCCCCTCTTACTCTCATAAGTAAAGTAGGTATATGTTTTCATTCATAGGCAAGCATACTTATGTATTACCTACATATTAAGAATATAATTATTTTAAGTACTAGCCGAACATGTTTTGTGGCTTATTATACACATATATACTTATATAATTCTTAAAAATACAATATAACCATGAAATGAATTGTGAAAGAATAAAACATATTAATAAATAAATCTTAACTTACGAACTTTTCGTAAACTAGGTTATGTTTTAGTCGAAGTTGGTAAAAACATTATGTATACAGTATAAACAGCTAAAACACGATACATTGTCTCTACCTGCACCACTTTTTCCTTATACCTGTATCTTTCGGCATAAGGAAATATGCCTACTTTGTAAGGTGCAGTTTTGATGTTATTTTGGCACATAGGAAAGACACAATATTCATAATAAACTGTTTGCTTTTCCATTGTAATAAGTTGATTTTATCACTCACTTTTTTAACTTTCAGTAACTTTGTGAACCAAGCACTGTTGTTGACATGGAGCTCTCAGTAATCTGATGTCACATAATAAGCGCGCCAACATGGCCGCGTTTAAATCGCCCGAAAATGATAGTGATTTTTGTAAATTCTTTTTAGCTCAATGGTTTATATTCCGGGTGTACTATATTTATTTTTGGTAATATAATAACTATTAAAAACGTAAAAAAATACCTATTCCAAACTGCTTTATAAACTAGTCAATAACCCAGAAATTGTTAACGATGACCACCTACAAAATATTGAGATGAAAGTAGTATTATAGTTGGACTAGCTGATAAATCTACGGTTTGAAAAGTGATTTCTTGTTCAGTTTGCTTGTAACATTTAGAAAGTGGATTTTATAGCTGAAGTCTGCAACAGGACAACACTATGAGGATCATGATCAGCATCAGGGTCACATCTGGAACGGACGATTTCTCGCTACCAGTTCCTATCCAGCGCGTCTCTCAAGACCGTGTACAAATTGAGGGACGAAAGGTCTTTTACTTAAAGGGCTAGCCTCGTTGGTGCATGACCATCTCCTTCGTTGCTGAAAAATTAAAGTATGTATTGTTGACATATGGCGAGCAGAAACTCTTAGCAATTTCTAATTTAAAATCTTTTAGTTTAGTCGGTGTTGGTGTTTTCTTCTGTTTCCCGACCCTTCCATATAACAGCCAGTAGTGATGGCAATTATTGCTACTCTTAAGTTATAATTAGTGATGTGCC